TCCCTCGATGGGTGCCCATCGTGGCTTAGCTACCTAGCTTGAGTTAGCTTGAAACGGCAACTTCGATTGCTACGCTAGGCTACTTTATTCACCCTCACCCGTGTTGCCAATTTCTTGGCGAGTGAATTGGGCTCGAGTCGCCTGGGCCTTGGATTGGCCGATTCTGATTTCCTGTCTCTCGAGGCTTCCTGAATCCCACCCCTTTGTACCCACCACTTCCCTGTACTACCAACTTCGCGTCACCCTCAAGAACCCAACCAACCCTCGCTGAAACTGAATACTACAAGCTACACCCTTCTACACCTCACTAAGCATGGAACTGAATATATTGTTCTCAACTGTATATTCTGTGACAGGAGAGCCAGCAGTGCACTCATAAATATCAGCACTCCCTCCTTGGTCGCTTATATCGACTCTAACTCTCACCTGCCGCAAAATAAGCTTGTCTCCTGTGCCCGGTGGGAGGTGCAGGTTGGTTATGCGAGGCAGAGGGAGAGCCAGCAGCGCGCTCATCACTCCTTCGTCCAAAAAGGGGAAGCGCGGCTGGTGGGGGTGAGAGCAAACAGGAAGTGCAGAGAAGGTTTTAAGGAGGTGAGCTGGTGAATAAGATGCAGGCTGGGGATGAGAGGCAAGAGGGAGGGCCAGCAGTGGACTCATCACTCCCTCGTCCAAAAAAGGGAAGCGCGGCTAGTAAGGGTGGAGGTGGTGATGGGTGGTGGTGGTGGGAAAAAGACAGTACTGAAATGAGAAAGGGTAACAGATAGTACGGTAAAAAAAAAAAGTATAAAAAAGTGAGAAAGAAAAAGAAACGTACTGGTTACTGTGATGAAAGAAGCACACCTTGCTGCCGTGGTCCGACAGGCACTGGTTGTCTTTTGAGACAGGCACTGGTCGTCCCGATCCCAACAGGATTCTTCTAATCCACTTATCAAAAGAGCAGGCAATGTGCTAAAAACACCGCACCTCTCTGCCCTGGTCCGAGAGGCACCGGTCGTCCCGGCCCAGATTGCGATTCTCGAGTGGATTAACGAAGAAGCTTACAGGTACTGAGATCAAACAAGCGCACACCGCACCGCACCTCACCTCACCTCTCTACCATGGTCCGAGAGGCACCGGTCGTCCCGACCCAGGTTGCGGCGCCACAAGCGACGCACGTCCTCCCTCATCTCACTCTCCAGGGATGGCCAGCTGGAAACGGAAGGGGGGAGGGGAGGAGGGAAGGGGGAGATGTGGTACGCGCGCATAGAGGACGAGGTGTGTGTGTGTGTGCAGACCACAAGTGCCACAGGCGACACACATCCTCCCTCATCTCACTCTCCAGGGACGAAGAAAGAGAAGATATGAGGCACGCCCCTCGCCTCTGACTAGAGGAGCAGGCCTCTCTGCCATGGTCCAAAAAGCACCGGTCGTCCCGAACCAGGTTGCACCGCCACAGGCGCTGCGCTGCACATCCTCCCGCATCTCGCTCTCTAGTGATTGCAAGCTGGGGAAGGGAGGGCAGTGGGAGATGAACCATACACACACACAAGCCCCGAGGTGAGTGAGTGTGAATGCAAGTATGAGAGGAGAGGAACCACAAGTGCCCAAGGCTCCTTTGAAAATGGAGAGGGGAGGGCGATGGAGGGCAATAACAGGTGCAGAGCATAAGGCAGGCACGTCCTCCCGCCTTCTGAGGCACCTCGAAAGTCGTTTTAAGGCGCCTCAAAGAGCGATGGAGGGCGAGGGCAGGCGCAGAGCACGAGCCACGCACGTCCTTCCCCAGATAGCTCTCAAGGAGACTTTTGAGTCGACTCAAAAGTCAGGCGCAGAGCACGAGCCACGCACGTCCTTCCGCAAATAGCTCTCAGGGACTAGCCGGGCGGTGAGAGAAGGAGAGCGGCAGGAGGGTGCGTTGCAAGCAAAGCTCTTCAGTGCAAAAGGGGGGATGGACTGTGCACTGTGCAAAGCTATAATACGGAGTACTGTGCAAAGCTATAATACGGAGTACTGTGCAAAGCTATAATACGGAGTACTGTGCAAAGCTATAATACGGAGTACTGTGCAAAGCTATAATACGGAGTACTGTGCAAAGCTATAATACGGAGTACTGTGCAAAGCTATAATACGGAGTACTGTGCAAAGCTATAATACGGAGTACTGTGCAAAGCTATAATACGGAGTACTGTGCAAAGCTATAATACGGAGTACTGTGCAAAGCTATAATACGGAGTACTGTGCAAAGCTATAATACGGAGTACTGTGCAAAGCTATAATACGGAGTACTGTGCAAAGCTATAATACGGAGTACTGTGCAAAGCTATAATACGGAGTACTGTGCAAAGCTATAATACGGAGTACTGTGCAAAGCTATAATACGGAGTACTGTGCAAAGCTATAATACGGAGTACTGTGCAAAGCTATAATACGGAGTACTGTGCAAAGCTATAATACGGAGTACTGTGCAAAGCTATAACACGGAGTACTGTGCAAAGCTATAATACGGAGTACTGTGCAAAGCTATAATACGGAGTACTGTGCAAAGCTATAACACGGAGTACTGTGCAAAGCTATAATACGGAGTACTGTGCAAAGCTATAATACGGAGTACTGTGCAAAGCTATAACACGGAGTACTGTGCAAAGCTATAATACGGAGTACTGTGCAAAGCTATAACACGGAGTACTGTGCAAAGCTATAATACGGAGTACTGTGCAAAGCTATAATACGGAGTACTGTGCAAAGCTATAACACGGAGTACTGTGCAAAGCTATAATACGGAGTACTGTGCAAAGCTATAATACGGAGTACTGTGCAAAGCTATAACACGGAGTACTGTGCAAAGCTATAATACGGAGTACTGTGCAAAGCTATAATACGGAGTACTGTGCAAAGCTATAATACGGAGTACTGTGCAAAGCTATAATACGGAGTACTGTGCAAAGCTATAATACGGAGTACTGTGCAAAGCTATAACACGGAGTACTGTGCAAAGCTATAATACGGAGTACTGTGCAAAGCTATAATACGGAGTACTGTGCAAAGCTATAATACGGAGTACTGTGCAAAGCTATAATACGGAGTACTGTGCAAAGCTATAATACGGAGTACTGTGCAAAGCTATAATACGGAGTACTGTGCAAAGCTATAATACGGAGTACTGTGCAAAGCTATAATACGGAGTACTGTGCAAAGCTATAATACGGAGTACTGTGCAAAGCTATAATACGGAGTACTGTGCAAAGCTATAATACGGAGTACTGTGCAAAGCTATAATACGGAGTACTGTGCAAAGCTATAATACGGAGTACTGTGCAAAGCTATAATACGGAGTACTGTGCAAAGCTATAATACGGAGTACTGTGCAAAGCTATAATACGGAGTACTGTGCAAAGCTATAATACGGAGTACTGTGCAAAGCTATAATACGGAGTACTGTGCAAAGCTATAATACGGAGTACTGTGCAAAGCTATAATACGGAGTACTGTGCAAAGCTATAATACGGAGTACTGTGCAAAGCTATAATACGGAGTACTGTGCAAAGCTATAATACGGAGTACTGTGCAAAGCTATAATACGGAGTACTGTGCAAAGCTATAATACGGAGTACTGTGCAAAGCTATAACACGGAGTACTGTGCAAAGCTATAATACGGAGTACTGTGCAAAGCTATAATACGGAGTACTGTGCAAAGCTATAACACGGAGTACTGTGCAAAGCTATAATACGGAGTACTGTGCAAAGCTATAATACGGAGTACTGTGCAAAGCTATAACACGGAGTACTGTGCAAAGCTATAATACGGAGTACTGTGCAAAGCTATAATACGGAGTACTGTGCAAAGCTATAACACGGAGTACTGTGCAAAGCTATAATACGGAGTACTGTGCAAAGCTATAATACGGAGTACTGTGCAAAGCTATAACACGGAGTACTGTGCAAAGCTATAATACGGAGTACTGTGCAAAGCTATAATACGGAGTACTGTGCAAAGCTATAACACGGAGTACTGTGCAAAGCTATAATACGGAGTACTGTGCAAAGCTATAATACGGAGTACTGTGCAAAGCTATAACACGGAGTACTGTGCAAAGCTATAACACGGAGTACTGTGCAAAGCTATAATACGGAGTACTGTGCAAAGCTATAACACGGAGTACTGTGCAAAGCTATAATACGGAGTACTGTGCAAAGCTATAATACGGAGTACTGTGCAAAGCTATAACACGGAGTACTGTGCAAAGCTATAATACGGAGTACTGTGCAAAGCTATAATACGGAGTACTGTGCAAAGCTATAACACGGAGTACTGTGCAAAGCTATAATACGGAGTACTGTGCAAAGCTATAATACGGAGTACTGTGCAAAGCTATAACACGGAGTACTGTGCAAAGCTATAATACGGAGTACTGTGCAAAGCTATAATACGGAATACTGTGCAAAGCTATAATACGGAGTACTGTGCAAAGCTATAATACGGAGTACTGTGCAAAGCTATAATACGGAGTACTGTGCAAAGCTATAATACGGAGTACTGTGCAAAGCTATAATACGGAGTACTGTGCAAAGCTATAATACGGAGTACTGTGCAAAGCTATAATACGGAGTACTGTGCAAAGCTATAATACGGAGTACTGTGCAAAGCTATAATACGGAGTACTGTGCAAAGCTATAATACGGAGTACTAACTCTCCACTTCTCACCAACTCTCACCCTCCACTTCTCACCAACTCTCACTCTCCTTGTCGGAATTGTGTCCTGTAGCGAGCATAGCCCCGCATTATTGAGTCGATTCGAGAGCATAGCCCCCCACACATCCCCCTCTTACCCTCCTTGTCGAAATTTCGTCCTGTAGCGAGCGTAGCCCCCGCACTGTTCATCTGCACCTGTTCCCACGAGCACCACCCGCGCATGTGCTCTGTATCCCTCCACACCCCCCGTCACCGCTCTGCACCCCTCTTCCTCCTCCTCTCCCTCATTGCCCTCCCCCTCCCCCCCATAGCTTATCATCCTGCCCTCCCCCCTAGCTGCCAGCCACAGTGCCGCACCAATGTTGAGGTCCTGGGAGCACGAGGGGCCGGGGGGGGGAGGGGGGGGGGGAGCGCAGAGAGAGCAGTTGGGCAGAAAGGGGCAAAGTGCCGGCGGAAGGGGGAGAGCTCTCCCCTCCCCTCTAGCAGCCAGCCGCAGGGCCGTTGCAATCCGATGTTGAGGTCCTGGGAGCAAGGGGGGAGACAGCGGTGGGCAGAGACAGCAGTAGCACTGTTAGCCATAGTGCTGGCGGAAAGGAGAGAGCTCTCCCCTCCCCTCTAGCAGCCAGCCACAGCGCTGCACCAACGTTGAGGTCCTTCCTGGGAGCATGGGGGGAGATTGGACGAGGGGGAGAAGGAAAGGAGGGCGAAGGGAGAGGTTTGGGGGAAGGAACGAGGCAAGGAGGGGGTGATGTAGCAAAGCAGTCGCCATTCCCCCCTAGCAGCTGTCCACAGTGCCGCACCAATGTTGAGGTCCTGGAGAAAGAGGAAGAAGGGAAACGAGGGGGAAGAGGGAGGGGGGTGGACAAGGGATGGGCAAGGATTGGAGATGTAGCATTTAGAGTTGACTCAAAGACGCAGCGGACAGTCACCATCCCCTCTAGCAGCCAGCCACAGTGCCGCACCAATGTTGAGGTCCTGGGGAACGAGGAAAGGGCCAGGTTTGGCAAGCCAGTGAGTGGGCCAGGTTTGGCAAGCCAGTGAGTGGGCCAGGTTTGGCAAGCCAGTGAGTGGGCCAGGTTTGGCAAGCCAGTGAGTGGGCCAGGTTTGGCGATCCAGTGAGTGACCCAGGTTTGGCAAGCCAGTGAGTGACCCAGGCCTGGCCGGCCGGGGAATGGTGGGAAACTGCTCATGTGTAGGTTTGTAAGAGCACACACACACACACACACACACACACACACACACACACACACACACACACACACACACACACACACACACACACACACACACACACACACACACACACACACACACACACACACACACACACACGCGCGCGCGCGCGCACACACACACACACATACAATGGCTGGCACATACCATGGCTGGCACATACCATGTGCGTGTGGGAGGGGCAGAGCAGGGAGAGCAGGTGCGTCTTGACCTGGTCCACCTCTGAGAGGGTCGAGTCCACCTCCACCAGATGCCACCTGCAGCATTAGTAAACGGAGACAGAAACAAAAGAGGAAGATGATAAGGAAGCCAGGTCCAAACAAGGAGAGCATGCTCCTCTGCCACCCTGAGAGAGGGTCGAGTCCACCTCCACCAGATGCCACCTGCAGCATGAGAGAGCAAGGGAAGGAGAGACTGAGAGTCAGGTTCCAGCAGGGAAAGGCACGAATCCACCTGCACCAGATGCCACCTGGTCACAGCAGGGAAAGACCCGAATCCACTATGCCACCCCTACCCTTACCAACCCCCTTCGCACTCACCTCCTCCCCTCGCATGCTCGCACCAGCTCCCTCACTCCCATCCTCGCTGTCTGCCTGTCCGGTGCTGCTGCCCCGGCAAAGCTCACATTCAGGAGCTCCATGGGCCCTGAGGTGGGTAGGGAAGGAGGTGGAAAGAAAAGGGCACAGCTCTGCCTGCTGCCTGTGTGTCCGTTTGTCTGCCTGTCCGGCGCTGCTGCCCCGGCAAAGCTCACATTCAGGAGCTCCATGGGCCCTGTGGTGGTGGGGAGGGAGGATGTGGGTGGAAGAGGAGAAGGAGAAGGAAAAATAGAAGCAGAAGCAGGACAAAGAGGAATAAGGAAGAGGTGGAGGAGGAGGAGGAGTAGGAGGAGGTCTGGAGTGACATCTCCCTACGATTCAGCAAAAGTAGCGATGGACAGGCTTGTCAGAAGTTGGTTGGGGAGTAATAATAAAAAAAAAATATAATAACAACAATATATTATTTTAATAATAATGATGATCATAATAATAAAGAATAAATGCATAAAATAGTACACTAATCATCATCATCATCATCATCATCATCATCATCATCATCATCATCATCATCATCATCATCATCATCATCATCATCATCATCATCATCATCATCATCATCATCATCATCATCATCATCATCATCATCATCATCATCATCATCATCATCATCATCATCATCATCATCATCGTCACCATAACAGCAATTTTTTATTATTAATATATATAGAATCCAGTAGAGAAATAGAAGAATATAACAAGCAACAAGAAAGGTAAAACAAGTTGACAGAAATTATGTATACATTAGAAACTCGGCTTACGGTAGATGGGCACGTGGCGGTGGGCCAGGGCCGCCAGCAGCATGGAGTCCAACCCCCCTGAGAACATCACCGCTACCTCTCCCTCCTCTGCCCTGCTCACACTCCCTGCCACTGCACACCAATGCAAACATGCACACACCCACGCACGCACGCACGCATGCATGCACTCACGGTGGATGGGCACGTGGCGGTGAGCCAGGGCGGCCAGCAACATGCATCCCCTGAGAACATCACGGAGTCCAACCCGCCTGAGAACATCACCACTGCTGGTGCCACCCGCATCCCCTCTATGCATGCACACACACTCACGGTGGATGGGCACGTGGCGGTGAGCGAGGGCCGCCAGCAGCATGGAGTCGAGCCCCCCTGAGAAGAGCACCGCCACTGGTGCCACCTGCTCCTCTCTTTCTCTGCACGCATGTCCTGCTGCTGCTGCTTCTGGTGCCACTGCTGCTGCCCGCTCCTCCTCCCTGCACGCATCTCCTGCCACCGCTGCTACCTCTGCTGCTGCTTCTGGTTCTGCCAGTGGTGCCGCCTCTTCTTCCCTGCGCACACACGCCCCCACTGGTGCTGCTGTTGCTCCGTGCCCGTCCAGTGGGCCAATGGGTATACCTTTTCCAATGTGCCTTTCCTCTCGAATGTGCATCACTCGAATCCCCACTGCTCTATCCAGTGCTGCCAGCACATCATCTGCTGCTGAGTCAGCCGCATCACCTGCCGCCGCCAGCTCAGTACCGGGGTGCGCCACCTCAGCGCTACCTCCTGCCAGCTCATCACCTTGGATTGCCACGTCAGCTGCCATTGGTCGCTGCCATGTCAGCAGTCGCTGGACGGTTTCATCCTCCCACTCATGCCGGAACCACTCCCACTCGTCCTCCCTCACCTTCACTCCCTCACGCTCTCTCGACCCCTCACTCACTCCCTCACTCTCTCTCAAACCCTCACTCACTCCCTCGCCATGTGAAGGAAGCACAGTGCTGTATATCCCGCATGGCAGTTCCTGCCAGTACCTAAACTCTGGCAAACCACTCTGATCAACTGCTTCCCCACCACCGCCTCCTCTTTCTCTTCCTCTTGCTCCTCCTGCAGAGTTTTGAGTCGACTCAGAACTCAAACCACTCTGGTCAATCGCTTCCCCACCACCATTTCCTCTCCTTCCTCCTCCTACCTCCCCTCCTTCCCCTGCCTCTGCTCCAATCCCTCGCTCACCAATCTCCGCTCCTCGTTCCCCTGCCCAGTTTCTCGCACTTTCCCCTCCTCTCTCTACTCGTCCACCTCCTGTCCTCTCTGCTCTTTCCAATGCCCCCTCCCCTGTCCGCGCTTCACTCCCTGCTCTCTCTGCACTGGAGAGGCGGGGAGTACAAGGCGAGGGGCACACGCTGCTCACCACAAAAGTGCTCCTCACTCCGCTTTCCTCCTCCCCTCTCTCACTCTCCTCTCCCCCCTCCTTCTCCTCCCTTCTCTCATTCTCCTCTCTCCCCTCCTTCTCCTCCCCTCTTTTCGCTTTCCCACTCCCCTCCCAGCACGGCCCATGGAGCAGCAGGCTGCGCCGCCCCATGAAGTCGCGGGCCAACCAGAGCGTGCCAGCTGTTGCCTGCCAATAGGCCAGCGCGAAGGGGCCTCGGAGAGAGGAGAGCAGGCGGGGGACGGAGTGGGGGTGGGGACAGGGAAGGGCTGGACGGGCGGAGAGTGGGGAGGGTGGGGGGTCAGGATGGGTGGAGGGAGGAGAGGAGGAGGAAGATTGTGAAAAGGAGACAGGAGTTGATGGGATGTTGCTGCTGCCGCTGCTGGCGCTGCTGATATGGTCTTTACTACTGGTGGTGGAAGGGTTGTCATGACCACTCTTGAGGCTTGCCGCACCGGAGGTTGTGTTGAGGGTTTGCGGGGAGGGGCAGCGGCAGGAGCAGCAGGAGGAGAGGGCGGAGAGAAGGCACCGGGCATCGTTCTGCTCTGGTTGAAGGACGGGCAGCCCGCCAAATATCTCACCTGCCCAATGTTGAAGAGAAAGTCCCGATGAGCAGAGAATCAGACAGGGAAGAAAAGACACAGCTGAAGGCGGAATCAATATTCCATGAGATGCCCGCTGCTAAGTGTTTTTTTTTTTCAGTTGAATAGGAATATAATCATTCCAGCTGGCACAGTGTGAAAAAAGAAGGGTTGTTAAAACCGTTAAATAGGAGGACATTGCCATGTTGATCCATCAGCGTGACTTTTGAGTCGACTCAAAGGTCACAAAGCTAATTCATACCGTTAAATAGGAGGACATTGCCATGCTGATCCATCAGCGGCTGTGACACCTCTCCTCCCTCTCCTCCTCTCGCCTCCCTGCCCACTCCTTGTTCAGCTGCCTGGTACCCACTCCGTCCCTTTCTTTTGGGTGCCTCAAACTGCCTTTTCTGGAACCCACTTTGTCCTCCCTCATTCTCTCCTCCCTTCTCATTTACTCCTCCCTCCTCATTCTCTCCTCCCTCACTTTTGTGGACCTCACTGTCACACTCAACGTGGCCCCCTTCACCACCCTCCCTCCTCTCTGCAGGACCCTGCGCTCTGTGATTCATCATCCCCCCACCTCCCTCCTCTCCTCCTCCCACACTCTCCCCCCTTTTCGCATCCCCTCCTCCCCCCGCGCCCTCCCCCTCCCCCCGAACTTGCAGCACTGAAGCTAGCAAGGACAGGCGTGTGAGGGGACAGAGTGCGGTGGGAAGAGGTGGAGAGGCATTGGTGGCGGTGGGAAGGGAGAGGGCGGAGGATCGATCGGGGCCCCTGCGGCTGAGAGAAGCCGCGAGAGACTCGATTGAAGGTGACCCGATACAAGCACACACAGGGGTACTCTGAGGCACCTCGTTATAAGCACACACAGGGGGTTGTGGTGCTGCAGAGGCTTCATTGCTGTTACACGTGGAGTCCCCTGATTGGCAGCAGCATGCCTGTTACAGTGACATGACAAGCATTCAGAGGGGAGGACAGACATACGTTCTTAAAACCGGAGTCTCAAGTATCCCGAAGTTGCCTCATCCTTCCTACCTTTGGTTGGGTCACAAAGTCCAACCAACCTTCCTACCTTTGAAACCTGTGGACCCTGGGTTTTAAGCTGAATCCTCAACTCAATCAATCAAGCAGAGGCGTCAGTTATATCCATACACAAAAGGGACACTTTTTATCCAATCCATCCCCTTACTCTGGATCGCTCGCTGTCGCACGGCCCGTCGCAGCCGCTCTCTGTGCGACGCCCTGCCGTGCGGCATCTAACAGTTCGCAGTCGCTGGGCGACAAGAGCGATGCCGCACATAGCGCCGCTTTTGGAGGGTCGTAGCGGGTCGAGGGAACAAGAGTTTTAGGAGCCTTCGAAATCAAGGAACACGAGAAATTTAAGGAGAATGCGATGAATACGTGAGCGACGCGGCGAATGAGGAGGACTGATCGAGGAATCGTGGTGAAACGGTTTCTGGTTCGCGTAAACGCCGCTACGAGGTGAGAAACGGCGATTTGGCGAATGCCAGCTGTGCTGTCTGACCCCTCGGCAAGGAAAGCGGACCCGAATCTAGGATCACGCCACAATCAGCGCGCCGCTGCTGCTGCTTGCTGCCACATGGATGTACTCGATATGTGAAAAACCGATGCTTCAATGGTGCTGGTTGTGATGTTGTTGTTTTTTTACGGAACGCGCACACGCAATGCGATCATCACGAAAGTTCTAATTTTCGCCGCCGGAGGTTGGGGCAGTTCGCAGAGTGACAGTGGAGTGTTTATTCGCAAACATTTCGCCAGATGTCGGGCTTCGTAGGCGAGCTTTCTACGAAGACGGTTACCAGCGCACGCGAAATGCTTTATAGTTTGCATGACTTGACGAGGTTCGCATCTCCCTTCAGGGTTACCGCTCTTTGTCACGGAAACCGAACCTCGAGTCCTGAAAAAATACCTCAACGAGTCTGTGAAAGAACACGCCCATACCTTTCCGCCAACGAAATCCATCGTCATAGAAATCTCCAGCTGAGTCAGCAATAGTCACCTATTATCCATTCTGGCGGTGCATTTTGAATCGTGACCCATTACAGATTTAGCGTCGCGACGGCTTCTGTCCAAGCGGGCCGATCGTTTCATCGCCACGCCTGGTCGTTCCTTCGTCGCGATTCGCAGCTCGTGTCGAGCTCGCGACGACACTTATTCCCGCCGGAGCTGCCAGCCGTCCTCGTGATCGGAAGCCATTGTTTGTGTCGCCGGACATCGGACCAGCGCTCCCCGCATTGCGCCCTCCTTTCGAACCATTGCGGCTTGCGGACGCCGCCGCACCGGCTCCCCGCATTGCGCCCTCCTTTCCAAACACCATTCGGTGCATTTCCCTTGGCAGCAGATTTCCTTTCCTCACCCTGATAGGCGACTCGGAACATTCAAGAGCACTCGACCCTTATTAAAAAGCACTCCAAAATGGACTCTCACGCGCTTGCACTCACCCCCTCCGCCCTTTTCCCCGCGCCAGTCCTTTCTTCCGCCTGCGCTGCGCGCGTCTTTCCCGCCAATGGGGCCAGACGCAGCCGCACATCCGCCGTTGCCCCTATCCGCGCGTCAGCGCAGGCCGAAAACCAACCTTCCACCCACCCCTCCATTTCCGCCACTCCCCCTTCCGCCGCTTCTGCCGCTTCCCCCGAAGCCCTCCCCAGACGCTCCGCGCTCGCGGGCGGACTCCTCGCCTTGGCTTCCGCCACCCTCTCCGCTTACCTCCCACTACCCGCCCTCCCTCCCGTCGCGCACGCCGCCGCGGACGCCGCCGCAACGGTGGAAGCCGCCGGCGGAAGCGACCTGCTGAAAGGGCTCCGATCCGCGTTCGATTCGGAGGAGCTCACGGCGAGCGGGCGGCGGCTTCCGAAGGCGTACGTGCGGAGCGTGACGGCGCTCATCAGCAGCCTGCGCGACGCGCTGGGCGCGGAGGAGGGGGATCGGGGGGAGTTCCGGCGGAAGGCGGAGGTGGCTAAGGGCGCAATCCGCGCGTACCTGGGGGAGTGGCGGGGGAAAGCGCCGGAGAACACGGAGGTGAGCGCAGGGGAAGGGGGGAGTATGCGCTGAGAGGAGGGTTGAACAGGGGGAGAGTTGAAGGGTCGGGAGGGCTGAACGTGGGGAGGGCTGAATTTTTTTTAGATTGTATGGAGGTGAGAGCAGGGGAAGGGGGGATTATGCGCTGAGAGGAGGGTTGAACGAGCTGAGTTTTAACCGAGCTGAGTTATAAACTAGGGGAGTTTTGAACTACTTGTGGGTATTTAAGGGAGGTGTTTGAGGAAGGTCACTCGTCAGCAGATTACATGGAGGTGAGCGAAGGAGAGACACTGGAGGATGCATGGGGGAAGAAGGACTGGACTGAACGCCGGAAGTGTTACAAGTTGCAGTTCATTCAATGCCAAGCGCAGGGGAGGTGAGTGCAGGGGACCGGAAGGAAGGTGGAACGAGGGGAGGGTGGAACGAGGGGAGGGTGGAACGAGGGGAGGGTGGAACAAGGGGAGGAGTTGAAAGGTGGGATGGCTGAACTCTAATTCACGCACTTAATGGGGAGTGGCGACGGAAGGTCACTGGGCAGCAGATTGTATGGAGGTGAGAGCAGGGGGTGGGGAAGATGGGGGTGGGGAACATGCATGGGGGTGGGGAGATGCGTGGGGATGGGAAAGGTGGGGAAGATGCGTGGGAGAAACTGTTAAGAGGTTGAAAGGAAGGCTTATTTCACCTAATTCCTAGCGTGGTCGTCTCGTCTCACTCAATCCCAATCGTCTGAACCTCATTGCCCTCTTCCCCCTTTTCCTTCCTCTCCTCCCTCTCTCCCCTCTCCTCCCTCTCCCTACGACACCACCACCACCCCTTCTCGCGACTCTGCTCTCAAAACGCTCTCCCAGTTTTACATGCCTGGTGCAGAAAAATCAATTTCAAGCCTCCCTTTATTTTTGAGGCGCCACAAATATTGACTCTGCTTTCACAACGCTCTCCATCTATTTCATATTCACTCCCTAACCTCCTCCACGCGCCCCCCTCCTCCCCTTTCCCCCTCACCCCCTTTCCCTCTGCTGCCGTTTCCCCCTCCTCCCTGTTCCCCCGCCTCCACTCCTTCCCTCCTTCCCTCCTTCACTCCTCGCTCTCCCAATCAGACCATCAACTCCTCACTCGACTCGGTGCTCAGAACGTTCTCCCGCTTCTACATGCGCAGTTCAGAGAATCAAACACCAAGCTCCCTCTTTTTCCATTTTCACATTCCCTCTCTGCCTTTCCCCACAACACCCCTTCCTCCCTCTTCTCCTTCCCCCCCAATCAGATCATCACCTCCTCTCTCGACTCTGTGCTCAGAACGCTCTCCCGCTTCTACATGCGCAGTGGGGTCAACGCAAAGCTCCCTGCTGACGTCAGAGACGGGATCCTTGCTGACCTGGCACTTGCAGAGGCTGCGTTGTAATTGGTGGGGCTCGGTGGTGGTTATCCAGTTAAGAAATCTGCAGCAACATATGTTATTTACATAACAAGCTGCTGATTTAGCCTGAATGCACAAAACACAGCTGAGGCAGTTAGAGCGTATTCCTATCCTCGTATCAAGATAACCTCATATCAAGACTGTACCTTTTGCCTGGTAAAACTAGCGAGAGGTTTTGGGTTTAGGGGAATTTTCAGTGGGAAGTTGATATGAGGTTCTCTTGATAGGAGGATAGGAATAAGCTCTTATACGAATTTTCTTTCTAATCTGTTGGCAGCTCCACTTTCCTTGGTCAAAGCTTCTGTACGAAACTACAACGAGGATGCATATTCGTAATTTGTGCCTCAATAACACACGCATTGAGCCATGCCAACCTGGTATTGAACCTTGAACTTGGGTCTCCATAATTTATCCTATTTACTTCACACTTCACTTCACTTGGTATTTCCACTTTGTTGAGCGCAGACTCTGAATGACACAGTAACGCGCTCGCTGACTTTGTTGAAAGTACTCAAATTGACTTGACATGGCTTGGGTTTTTTGCTGGCAAGGTTCAGAGTATCTTAAACATATTTGGGTATTACAGATTCTTTGTGAGAAGGGAATTTGTTGCGGAAATAAACCAGTAATCGATTTGATGAAGGCGAGTTGAAGGGTGTAAGCGGCTACAATGTCGATCGAAACCAGCAATAGTTTTCTCCTGTCAGGCTGGTGCCTGACTCGACATTGGGAGCAGTGATTTCAGGCTGACGTGGCTCTGCTCGAACTCCAGCGTCGCATCGCAAAAGCGCTCGGCTGGTTCACATTTGCTGAAGTGGCAAGAAATTGCAGTCCCAGCGGAATCAGCACTCTTGCTCCATCAATATCGCAGAATAACCGTCTCTAGGCTGCGTTCTGCAGGCGCATCAGCCCGCATCAATGTACATTGATGCGTTCTAACATGGTTCCAGGATCCTTCCATGATAACCTGCCGACAGGTTATGAAGGCTAGCGATAAGCGCATGGCTGCCGAAGCAGAACACACCCGAATGCCTGCAGAACGGCCTTTTTGGCTTTCGAAATTTGTAATGTGATTGCTTTCCAAGAAGCTGCAAACCTGGCGCGTCAACGATTCGGGAGTTACCCGACGCTGCCAAACTAGCTGCCCAAGCAGTTCCGAGAGTTCCGAAGCTGCTTGGCTCTTGTCCTTCCGACGCGACCCGTCGAAGGTATCTTTCCCCACTCAGCTCAAACTGTAACTTCGAACACGCCCCCCGAAAGCATACCTTCCCCCCCACCCCCCCCCCCCCCCCCCCCCCCCCACCCCCCATTTTTTAGAATTACTTACTTCCTCGCCAGAAACGCATTTCCGGTTTCATTCTAAACTTAGGGTTTGGTTCTCACGGGAACAATTTTCGGAAGCTAGAAATCGCTTGACTCGAAGTCGCACATGGTGGACGCATATTACTACCCTCGAGTCGCGCGTTCCGTGACCGTTCTTCACGGCGCGGCGTTGCGCGCTCACGTTAGTACGACAGCGTGCCTCCTCCTGCTACTGCTCTACTCTTCACTGACGACGGCTTGGCAACTTGTATCGAAGCTACCTGCTGCTCGCCGCGGACAAGGACTCTCCGCGCAGACAGTTCCGCCTAGCGCGGCGCAATATCTCGGTGCGCGGCGGGCGGAGAGAACATTATTCATTGATCCCTGCTGGACAGCACCTGCGTCCGACGCAGCGGTCGCCGGAACCAGCAGTGACCCGTCGCAGGCTTCGGCGGCTGACGCGGCGGCTCTCAGGGCGATCTTCGCGGCCGCGCTGCTGCCTATCCCGGCGGACAATCCGTGCACGTGGACCGGCGTGACTTGCTGCACCGGCGGCGTTCATCCCAAAAATGTACAGATTCAACACCTACGTTGAAGATACTTGCGCGCAACATTTTCGCAGGTTCAGAAACACCTGCGTCTTGGTGTCAAACATTATATGTTTACATTGTGTAGGCTATAGTGGGTTTAGCCTTAGGGGGTACAACAAACTTAGGGTTTCCTACTAGTACCCACTTTCTGCTAGTTTCATTCATTCTCGTTCTTACTTTCTATCATGGTATTACGAGCCTAGGTCGTAACCTAGGACCGAACGATAGGGCCCACCGTTCCGCTAGAAGCGCCCTCGAGCGCCGTATCTCATTAGCGCCCTCGAGCGCCTCTCTCCTAGTGCGCCCTCGTGCGCCTCTCTTCCTCCTGCTGCCCGTGCGCAGCTCGCTAGTGCCGCGCGCGGCCTTTTCTTTTAGCGCGCGTAGCCCGCTAGCAGCCCGCGCGCGACCGTTTTTTAAGCGCGCGCCGACCCCTAGCCGCCCGCGCGACCGTCGCCGCCCACGAGCAGCCCCCTGGCCGCCCGTCGACCGCCGCCCAGAGCGTCGCAGCCCGCCCTTAGGCCGCCGCGACACCCCTCTAGGCCGCCGCCCGCGCGCTAGTCAGGCCCACGCACAGCCACGGCCCGCCCGCTACAGCCGCCCACGCGCACGCCCCCCGTCGCGCTCCGCCACGTAGCCTAGTCCGAGCCGAGCCGAGCCGTCCGAACCGAGCCGCGCCGCCCGAACCGAGCCGCGCCGCCCGAACCGAGCCGCGCCGCCCTGGCCGAGTCGCGCCGCCCTACTGTGCCCCACCAACTACTACTACTGCTCCTACTGCTACAGTTGCTACTGCTACTCCTGCTACTGCTACTGCAACTATGGCTAGCCCCTCTGTACTAGCTTTCGATGCTGAGGGCCGCCCACTGAAGTTTGAGACCTGGCTCGATGACCTGCACCTATTCCTCCAGCTCACTGCCAAGGAGGATATCTCACTGTACGATCACGCGCTAGGCCATGCTGCTGCCCCTGCTGCTACTGCTGACAGTACTGCCCGTTCACAGTGGCAGACTCGTGACGCCCACACACGCTTCGCTATTCGCAACTCCCTACCGATCGATGAGCGTGAGCACTTTGGCCAGCACAAAACAGCGCAGGCACTGTACACTGCTGTAGTGGCGCGCTACTCCTCACCTGCTTCTGCTGCGCTAGGCCGTCTCTCGCTCCCTGTGAAAAATAGTAGGAAGAAGAGAAGAAGGAGGGTTGCACTAGCAAGAATGAGGATACAAATAGCAAACCCTAGAAGGGTTGTACTCGCTATAGAGCACCCCACTACAGGCTAGAGCATAATATTCTGACACACCCCCATAGCCAAAGTGGGGTGTAATCAGCAGAGCAAGCAAAGCAGTACAAGCTCAGGGTGGATCACAATGTCACCACACATTCTGAGCACAAGTTCAAGAAGCAATAGTTTAAAGTTCACAATTATGAGCAAAGCTAGAGGCTATCGCAGAGGGCAAGTGAGGAGGAGGAGAGACTGTGGGGGAGAGAAGATGGGAGGCGACTGCTGACGCTGCAGACACACAGACGAGCTGCTGGCTCAGTGGCTACCGGAACAACGCTCCGGACTACTGGGGTAACTGGCCCCGCGGCTAAAAGTAGCGGCAGACGAGCAACGGACCCACGGGCGACTGGCGACTACCGGAGATTGTAGCCTCCGGACTGCTGCTGCTGCTGACGACAAGACTGCTGCCTCCACTCGACCTCCCCCAAACAGTACCACCCCTCCTGACACACACCCGCTGCTACACCGCTAGCTCCACCCCCCTTCACCCCCCCTTAGCACCACTCCAACGGCTCCAACAAGTCCACCCCCCCTCAGCGGCAGCTGCAGCACAGGGAGACGGAGGAGGAGGAGGAGCAGGGAACGGCACACAGTAGTTTCACCCCCATACCCCTCACCCCCAAACCCTAATTCAGGAGAACGGGCTGTAGGAGGGGTGGGGCGCCAGCAGAAGCACGGGGGACAGCGGGGAGGGCAGGGGCAGCGAGGAAAGGGCCGCCCACGGGCCTGGCACAGCCTCCCGAACCGCGCGCAGGCGGCCCGAGCCGCGCGCGGGCCTGGCGCAGCCCGTACGGGCCGCGCGCGGGCCTGGCGCAGCCCGTACGGGCCGCGCGCGGGTCTGGCGCAGCCCGTACGGGCCGCGCGCGGGTCTGGCGCAGCCCGTACGGGCCGCGCGCAGGCCTGGCGCAGCCCGTACGGGCCGCGCGCCGGCTGTACGGGCCGCGCGCAGGCCACGACGGGCGACGGGGGGCGACGCGCGGGTCCCCGTCGCCCGTCGCAGCGCCTCCCGAGGGCGACGCGGCGAGTGACGGGGTAGAAGCCCGCCGCGCGCCTCGGGGCGCACAGCGGGCAGAGAACCGCCGCGCGCCACGGGGCGCACGGCGGGCAGAAAACCGCCGCGCGCCTCGGGGCGCACGGCGGGAAGAAAAACTGCCGCACGCCACGGGGCGTGCGGCACAGAAGGTAGTAGTGGAAGTTGCAGCGGAAGCAACGAGGTGGTGAGCCCACCCACAGGATCGATCCAAGGGGATCGACCTGCTCTGATAGCATGTGAAAGATAGTAGGAAGAAGAGAAGAAGGAGGGTTGCACTAGCAAGAATGAGGATACAAATAGCAAACCCTAGAAGGGTTGTACTCGCTATAGAGCACCCCACTACAGGCTAGAGCATAATATTCTGACACTCCCCTACCTGTTCCCCGACCTGTCCGCTTTCTCCACAGTCGCTGACCTCATCACGCACCTCCGCACTAGTGAGGCCCGCTTCCGTGCCGCTATGCCCGCTGAGTTTCTTGCCACCCACCCCCCCCCGCTCTGGCTCACTCTCTACCACCTGGTCACCCGTCTCCCTGACTCTCTTCGTGCGGTCAGGGACCACTTCCTAGCTCGCTGCCCCACTGAGCTCACCGTTGACCTGCTCGAGAAGGAACTGCTTGCAGCTGAGACTAGCATAGTCGCTGTAGCTGCCTCTTGTGGCGACCCCCGCACCCCTTTCTTCGAGGGGTGTTCCCCTTCCCCCCTTCTCCCCTCTGTCGCCTCTGCTGCTGCTGTCGACCTCGTTGGTACTGAGCAGGTCGGGACTGCGTCCGCTCCGAGC